GTTATACTCTGAGCATGTCCGATGATGACGTCAGACAAGCTGTGTAACACAGAAAATGTAAAAAGCATCAAATTGTCTCAGAAAGTCATAAAAAATATGTTTTAAAGATTTAAATGAGCATTCTTTAGTGATTTAAAGATAAAAATAAGTACTTTTAATACCACTATTACATTATTTATGGCGACCTGGATGAATATCTGCTTGCACATGTGCAAATGAGATCAAGTAGTGACAATCTCACTCACAATATCACTACACTAATAGCCTATTTCAGACAAATGTACCTATAAATATGTGGGGGAGGGGTAACAGGATTTATTTCTTCATACAACCAAGGAAAAATCCCACTGCCATTTCTACCCCAGAATATTCTTACAGAAGAAGTTATAAAGTTTTTATTGAATCTATGGAAAGCTGTAGATTACAGTGAAGGCGCTCCAGTCTCTATGGTACGAGGACTCTTCTTTTTTTTTTTTTTTTATTGTGTCTAGCAATGTGGCAATAAAAATAATTGTCTTGATGCTACAAAGAGAGCCCAACAGATTTTGCTTTCACAAGTGGAGCAGTACGGCTATCGCCATAGAGTTCCGCTTGATTTATGGATATAAATAACATTATTATAATTCATACAGGGAGTTTTACAGATTATATGGACACTGCAATGTAGGTAGAACAGGAAAAACAGGAAAAGATTAAAGAAATAGAAGATAAAAGAAAGACAATGTTAAAACGCCTTCTATCTTCATCACCTGCAAAAAGAGATGTTTTTTTTTTTTGGCATGCAGACTAACTGAACCAGATAAGAACCCAAACTGTTATGAAAAGGGTTTGATTACTCTAATGCCAGTAAGGACTAATATTAGATATTTTTAAGATTTCATTTTAATCAATATTTAAAAGGGCTTAAATAGTTTCTGGCATCATATTTCTATTAACATTTATATACAATATACTTTTATCCCTTAACCCTTTATAATATTATAAATATCTAATTTTCTATCAAAGGAAAAAAGTGTCATTATAAAATGATATAAAACATAGAAATGTGGTTTCTTTCTTTAAAAAAATAAAAATAATTGAATTTACTGGACAAACTGCTGGGTTTTTATTCTGCCTCCTCAGAATGGGAGTACTTTTAGCAAAACAAAAAGGTTTTACGAAGTTTTGTTTTATCTTCAGGTTGTTTTAGTTTTCCTCCTAAGCTACACCCTCATTCATCGCTGTGTTTTTCTTGTCCCGTTTGTGCAGTACCCAAAGAAGGCCTGAAGTGCCAGGCGGTTTTTGATCAGATCAGGATGACTTACATCAAGGAGCTGGGAAAAGCCATCGTGAAACGAGAGGAGAACACAAGTCAGAACTGGCAGCGATTCTACCAGCTAACTAAGCTACTGGACTCCATGCAGGAGGTTAGTGATGCACAAATGGTAACATCGGCACAACTTTACAGGATTTTTCCTACTGAGATCAACTAGAAACAGAGGATGTGAAAGTTGTCTCCTAGAGATGCATTTCCTGCCAGCCTATTTCCTACATATTTGTTTGAATAGAATAAAAAAAGGACATTAAATATTTCCTGTTTAGCTTCAAATTGAAATTCAATTTAAAACAGGGACAATATTAGTAAACTCATGTCATCCAATTTGAAATGTGAATAAATAATAATTGAGGAAACATAAACACTAAATATTAAAAAAGAATCATTTATATGCTTAAGGTGTCGTAGGGAAATCGTATTTAATTTTAAAATCATTCTGGCTTAAACATGGATATAAATGTAATCTTTACCAGACTTTATTTTCCCAAAATGTAGAAAATTTCTATTTAAAAAAAAATCCTGTCTTATAAATCTGTTTTGTTTTTGGGATGATAATAAAATTGATAATCTTACGCGCTTTGGACTAGCAGTGCTGGGATGAAATGTCTTTAATGGAGGAAAGAGGAGCCCAAACTGTTTAACCTGCAGCTAAAAAAAACAGCTTAACAATAAATAAAAACATTTGTGAGGGGACTGATATTTTTCCATAGCATCAGGTTCGCTTTTAGCAGGCTAAAAATTCCTAATGAGAAGCATTTACTTGCCGGTAATAAATGTCACTTTAATCCTTTTTATTTAAATGAGGAAGTGCTCTCTAATAGTTTTAGGATTAGGGTAATTAATAGGAAATTCTTTGTGGTAGAAAATTGGTGGAGAAACATTTTCTCAGCTTGTAATATTATTCAATTCAGTTGTATTTTATAGGTTGGAACAATCATTTTTTTTCATATTCTTGACAGATTTCCTCTTTTTTTTTAAATGGGTGCTTTTATGTTCCATTTAAATCTCTTTAAACACTTTATAGCTCCTCTGAAGTCATGTTAATTACTTGTGATGAGCTGCAGATGCTTTGAAAATGATCCATCTTTCCGAAATCCGCCTCTCATCTTTTTAAACTGTCTCGTTCCAGATGGTGGAGGGTCTCCTGCAGATTTGCTTCTACACCTTCGTGAATAAGACCCTCAGTGTGGAATTCCCCGAGATGCTGACGGAGATCATCACCAACCAGATACCAAAATTCAAAGACGGGAGCGTCAAACCTCTGCTGTTTCATCAGAAATGACGGCCTTGAAATGTGAATCAATGCCTTAAATCCCCAACCTGCTTCAGGCCCTTCTGCTCTAATTCTTTATTCCGCCCCCCCAATATTCTTGTCCGTTCTTTGGTGTTTGTTTTCATTTTTGGAAAGTCAGCTTCATCCCTTCATCCCTTGCCTGTTTAGTCTAATCTCAGAAATTACCCATAGCCTCATAGTCGCCACCCCAGTCTGTCTGCACAGAAGCAAATTGAATGTTTTTAAAGCATCTGTCCGTTTTCCTCAATCCCTCACCTCTTGAACTCAGACATTTATTCTTTTTAAAGTCCTACTCTCTACATCGCTGAAATCATTTTAACTTGCCGGCCTTGCTCTGCTTCTCCGCGCTGTGAATGTCGCTCACAGTCTAGAGACGAAGGGGACAGATTGAAGCTTTGATGCAAAAGAACCTCACTTTTCTTCTGGATTCAAGGACAAAAAGCAAAAACGGACCCGAACTGGACCTATTTACCCGATCAGTGGAAGAAAAAGGAAAACGGAGCAGCTTGTGGATCCGTCTTCATGTTTTTTTTTTGTTTTTTTTAACGCAGATGCACATCGCAGATCACGCTTTCAGAGTTCAGCAGACGCCACGTTCAGCGCGAGCTACACATGTTTACACAGGATGTATCTGAGGGAAAACCAGTGCCTTTTAGTTTTCATTCTCGCAGCCATCCGTTACAGACCAGTCTGTTGTTCTGTTCCTTCGCATTTATCGCCTGGTTTTAGTTTGCTTCTTTTGTTTTCTCTTTAAAATTAAAGTTTTCTTTTAATTTTATTGTTTAGAGGAATCCCCCACCCCTTCAAAAGTGTGCAGAACAAAGTCATCCCGGCAGCTTGAATTATCATCTTCATGTTCAGGTCTTTAAACGTTTAATGAACTAGTATATTACAGTAGAATATACTGTTTTTCTTCTTTAGAAAAGTGAACCTATAGTGTTCTCCTTTAACTGCATCAGAGAAGCAGCCACTATAATCTAGAATTTGGAAGTAAATCAAAGTATTTTTTTTTTTTATTTAAACTGAGGAAGATTAGAAATTCCTGTCAAATTCTGAAGGTTTGGAAACGTTTGTAATTTCTTTATCGTGATTTTTACAAATATGGATCAAATTGAGATTGAAAAACGTCCAAATATCCATTTTCTAATCGCGCTCAATATTATTTGTAATATTTTAAATCAATCTGGCGTGACGGGTCCGGGTCCTTTCTCTGCCAGCTTCACCGAATTTTAAAAATGGTGACGATAACTTAAAAACTTTCTCTGGTTTATCTTGAAAGTCCAGTTTTTCTGCAGGGTCCCACACTTCTTGGATCAATTCATATTTTAGATGATGAACACAATAACAGAAAGTGCTTTTTAATACAGGAAGTAGTTTAAAAAACATTTTAGGAATTACAAAATCAACCCAACTTTTTCTCTTCATAACATATTTCAGCTTCATCTGAATTTGATTTAACCCAAAGTGCATAAAATCTTTTGGTTTTTATTAACTAATAGTAAAATCTTTAATTTTCCAAGACAAGAAAACAGGATGTTTCTTAAAATTATGTGACGATGGATCTCTAATATATATATAGATATATATTTAATTTGTTTCATACTCTGCATACACAAAGAAACAGGGATTATTATGAAGCCCGTCCATTTTAAATGCAAGAAGCTGCATTTAAATCCACATAATTTGCTTATTCTTCAGGTAATGTCTCCTTACATCTTTTATTATAGTCCCACTAGTGCCAAATATCACAAAAGTTTTTTTTTATCAGTTCTTTTTTCCTCTAATATCCTGCATATGTGAAGGGTGGTGTACAGCGGTGGTTTATAACTTAGCTTCAGGGTGCTCAGTCTTCAGTGTCTCACATAACACCAGCTTACAATGATCGATTGTTAACGAAATGTTTTTGGGTTGTTTTTTTTTTTTTTAGATTGTGATGTTGCTACAGTTTTTAATGTGTATAAAGCCTTCATACCAGCTTACATAGTGGCCAAATCTAGTGTTCAGGTTTTCATCGGCTTCTGCTGAGTGCAAAGTGCAACACCGTTCACCTCCCTGCTCTAGAGTCCGCTTTTCTACTTTCAGGGTTCCTACAGAGTCAAAAAAAGAATAGAAAAAGTAAAATATTTTGTATTTTCCGAATCCTATCTCTTTCAAATGGTTCTAAAGTTTGTCGTTTCTTGTGTCCTCCTACGTTTGTCTTTCCTTCCTTGGTTTCCTTCTGTAGTCTCCTACCTCCTTCCGCTCTATGTGCCTTGGATTCCTTCCCTCTCTCTTTTTTTTTTTTGTCTCCTACCTCCTTTCTTTCCCTATGTTGGTTCTGCCCAAAGTTAAAATAACAGTTCTAAAATCAAAGAGAATATTAAGATTTTATATTTTAAGATAAAAGTAAAGGACAGGGAAAGCTCAGCGTGGAAAAATGTGATATATTTGTGAATTTCCGTGTAAGAGCCCAGGACTTTATATCTGGATTTTCAGTTGTTTGCTTAACTGCACAGAAATAAAAAAGTAAAAAAAAAAAGCAGCAATCCTCAATCAAGAGCCATATTTTCTTTAGCTTTGAAGTTTGCCAATCCTTCTGGATGATTGTTGTGGTGCGCAGGCTCTTGAGCTTTAGCTTATTGCGAGTCTGCTTTTATCCCGGCGTGTTGATCAATCTGCCGAGGATTGGGTCTGGATCCTGTGGTGTCGGGTGGCTTTGCGTACAGTATTACATTCGCATTCAGGCAGCGGCGTTTCTGGAAGCCAGCTTTAACGTACAGGCGTAAAACACCCTCGCCACTGCTTCTGTCCCCCCCACTCCTTAAATGCCTATAGATGTATATAAGCAATGCTGACATATCCAGTGCAATGCAAACAAGTGTCTGTTATAAAAAAAAACAAAAACAATATTTTTACATGTTTGTCAGTCCTCCCCACTTTCTTATTCCTTTCAGTTCGACTAAAGGCCTTGCATAAGGGAGACGGAGAGCCATAGAAATACAATTTTAAATCAGGAAATAGACGACTACCAGTGCTTTTGGAGATTGATCTGTTTAAAAAAAAAAAAAAAAAAAGGTTTTGTGTGATTTTTAAATTCATCATCTTATCCTCTTTGATATGACTAATTTTACTCAATCATTTTTGTACATTAAATAAGTCGAAAAGTAATTTTGTTTTCGTCAGTTTGTGTTTGATAAAAGGTAGACGTGATTAATTCGTTAGGAAGTGTTAAACATGTTTGTCTTGTGAAGTAAATGTTCATTCTACGAGTCTGTGGACAAGTCTACAAGAGTGGTCACTGTTTACCTTTTAAGACAAAAGGAAATAAAGAAAAGGAAAGGCAGGTCGCCGTTAGAGCGAGATTTAGTTCTAATATTTTATTTTGCGCTAAAAAAAAAACAGTGACTAAAGCAGAGGGGGTAAAAAAAATAAATAAAAATTTACTAAACTGAAGTAATTGAGCAGTTTCAACTTGTGTAGCACATATGGGCTTACTTCTTAGCACTTCTAGTTTTATTTCGAATTTGCCTATTATGTAGATGACCTTGGCTTTGGATTTCATATATATTACTATAAGGATTCACTGGTCATTTAAGAAAAAAACGAAACAAAACAAAAAAAAAAAAACAGGAAAAGCTTAATCTCCATGTGAAAGTACATTTTCCAGAGCCTGACAAAATTGCACTACCCTCAGATTGCTTGTCACCGTCTATTTTGTATAAAATACATGCAATTATCTTTAAACATTAAGGGCAGATCATGTTTCACTGGTATAGAGCTATGGCTTTCACTGAAGTCTGTTTTTGTTCCTATTTCAGTTATGTAGATGTAATCCAATGTAAAGAATATATAGATATATTAAAAAAAATAAAAAATGGTTTATATTTACACTTCTTCTGTATTCAATGTCAATATTTCCCCTTTATTGATTATATGTTGAATTAGGTTATGTGTTTTTATTTTGTCTTTTCTTTTTTTTTCTTTTTTCAACTTTGGATTTGCCGTCGTCTCCAACTATGTTTCTGTCATCTCTGGTTTCAAGCAGAAATGAGGATGAACTGATATTTCATTAGTTCAACCATCTTACACAATAAAGTTTCCTGTTTTTTCAACACTGAGCAGCCTGGGCTTCGTTCTTCTCACTCCAGCTTCTCTTCTAAGTTGATGGACAGCATTAAAGCAAATTTATTTTTAAAACCTTTTTAATTAAAAGTATTTCTTTATTAAAATGTATCAAAAGAGCAGCTGTTTGTCCGTTTACACTGCGCTCTAGTTGGAATCAAATTCACTGAATTTAACTTCAATCTTCCACTTAATTTATTTAATGAAGCAAAGTGTCATTTTGCAGCCATATTTCATAATAAAGCATAGGAAAACAGTGGAAAGAAACAACTACCTTTTAATTGGAGGGAACTTTTATCAGAGTACTTTCTATTTCCAGAAAAAGGTAAATATTTTCTGTAGCTTCATCCAGTTGAAAACGCAGCTGAGCACCTAAATCAGTAATAAAATCTATGAGATATAAAAAAAAAAAGCAATTCTGCCATAACGGCAGATCATAAATAAATGGAAAGGGCAGACTCAAAGCAAATATAACTTCATTTATGGCATCAAGCTGCAGAAATGGAGGAAACGACTGTGCAAAGTAACAAAGGTTACCATCGGTTACACACAACGCTTAGAGCATATGGATGATCCAGAAGAGGAATGGGAGAATATCATATAGTGAGAGGAAACAGAATTATACGGCACTAACTCCTTGAAGCTCGTCGGAACGAACAATGTGGCGTTGGGTGTAGGAGGTTGCCCTGAAAGGTTAAAGCCCAGGCAATTCAGTGTCGCTGTGTCTTTGGGCAAGACAATTCACCTGCATTGCCTACTGATGGTGGTCAGAGGGACCTCACTTGTGTCTGTGGCTAGAATGTAGCTTGCCACCATCAGTGTGTGTGTGTGAATGGGTGAATGACTGAATGTAGTGTAAAGCTTTGAAGTCTCCTGACTTAAAAAAGCCATTTACCATTTGAACACAAAATCTCCTTCCATCATGGAGTACTGCACATGGGCCTATCAGCAGGACGATGGATCCAAACATGAAGGAGTGGCTCTAAAACTGCTCCTTCAAGACCACAATCCCGAAAAAAAGAACATTGTGGACGGAGTTGAAAGCCCTAAAATGAGATCTGCATGGAGGAACAGGCCAAAACAGTGTGTGCAAACCTGGTGAAGATTAACAGGAAATGTTTGGCTTCTGTCAGTGCTACAAAATATTGAGTTCAACTTCTGTTATTTTCACTGTAATTTTCATTTCTACAAAGTGATAAAGTTTTTTTTTTTCTCTTGTTGCCTCTAATAATTAAAGTATACCACTGAGGAAAACTACGACCTCTCCCATCGTTCTTAGTAGGAGAACTTTCACAGTCAGTGTCTGACTAAACGATTTTTCTCCCCATGTTTCATTAAGATGAATGAAGCTTTGAACAGTTCTGAAAGCCCAGAGCTCCTGCTGATTTAAGAGCTAAACAGTAGCACACATTGGGATGGATTTGGGACAAAACCTAAAAACACATTATATCCCTGTGTGACATGAACGGCAAAGAGATCAGGAAGTACATTTGAAACCTCAACATGATGCCAACATTAATTTGTTCAAACAAATATTGGTGTCCAGGAGATGGATTTGTTTTGGTTACTGGCATGAAGTGAATAGAGTCTTTATCTGTAGTGGCATGGGTTAAAAGGCCAACAGGTTATGGCAGAAGCCACACAGAAACAAAGTATAGGCTTTGGGCCTCCAAACACCACTACACACAGTAATGTAGAGCAGTGGCAGAGTGATGCTGAGTGGTCTTAGGGACTCGAAGCAAATATAACTTCATTTATGGCATCAAGCTGCAGAAATGGAGGAAAAGACTATGTTCAAATCCGAAACTACAAAATTCCAAGGACAGCGCATGTGTAGCTCGCTCAGTATGGCAGATTTGGCAGATAACTACAGTTAATATAAGCAATGTTGATCCATGAGTCTTAAACTAGATCAGGCATCTTTTCACAGACCAGACTGGGAGTTTGTTCTGCAGCAGATGATGAATGATGACTAAAAGCAGAATATATTCATTTAGGGGCATTCAATTGAAAGCCACCACCCAAAAAAAAACAAATATTTCTGAAGAAATCAAAGGATGACTCCAATTTGTAGCTCCTAGCCTCCATACCTTCAGCCTTAGTCCGGAGCTCCTTTACTATACTACTGTGGTTACTAAAAGAGCTCCGTACTGCTGCGCTGTAATAACAGGCATCGTTACTGAACAAAAAAACACATATTGATGCAAGTCAAAGTGGAACTTCAGCTTTCTGCATAAGAACTACAAAAAAAAGTTACAAACATGTAAGGAAGGTGATGATCTCTATTGTAAACCCAAAACATGAAAATGTGAACATTTGATTGTAACATACAGTAAAGTGAAGAAATGTTTTTTCAACTCCACGTGGATGGCTGTAAAGAGATGTAGAAAGCATCTTTTAGCCCGAGCTAATATAAAATAACTTTTTTTATGGCAACTGCTGACACCTTTCAGTTTGTCTTGGGCGTCCTCTCTGAGGAGGACACCCAGTGAGCTGTTCAAGGAGTGAGCTGAACCTGCCAATCAGCAGCCAGTAACAGGAAACCTGCAAACACAAAGGCTGACTGTCATAATAATGCTTTAAAATCCCTGAAACTGTTGCTGTTCATCCCGACATTCAATTAGGAGTCACTGGTCAGCGGACTCTCCTGAGTGTACAAGCATGGAGCCGAGCCAACCAATCAGCTGCCGGCAACTGAACTCTCCACGAAAACACACAGAGCCTTGACATGGTGCAAAACAGAGAAATCTGTGTTGTACACCCCCTTACTGTAAACAGTCAGCTGCAATGTCAGCTTTGAGAAAAAAACAGCAGATAGGAGCAGGGGAAATGCAAAAAAAAAAAAGTTGAAATATTTCTAATTCCTTGCATGTTTTACCGGATTTAAAAAAAAAAAAAAAAAAGTTGAAATATTTCTAATTCCTTGCATGTTTTACCGGATTTAAAGGAATGCATTAAATTACATCTTTCCAGGCTGATTCACCATGAAAGAGGTTTGGGTAATTTTAACATAGTTCATCCAATAAACATAAATGTAGACATTTAGCGTACAAATTAGAGAGAGTGAATATAATGTAGCATTACTCCAACTGGTGCATTTTAATTAACCTTTGAGTGTCCCTTCCAACTTTTTTGGAATTTACTAAGAATCTTCACCAGCATATTGCAATCCATTTCGGAAAAGACCTCCTCAGAATGATGTGTTAGTACGACAAACTGCTTAAGAAACTTGCAGATTATAGGAATCATCTTCAATTTGAGATGTAAACAGCAAAGGTACAATTTGCATGTTTTCTAAGCCTTAACAAGGCTTAGTTTAGCCTATTCTATAAAGCTTGGAACACAATGCTAATTCTGACATTTTGAATTGAAAAAACTCCCTGGATGGGAAGCGAAATGTCTTCAGACTTGGAAAACAAAGTCCAGTGGATTGATTTTGAATTTTTTTTGAAAGTTTGAGTGTCCCTAAAAAAAAAGAAAAAAAGATCTAAGCAGAACATTTTCAAGATGAATCTTTATTTCTTCACAATCCTTCACCAAAACATCTGCAGAAATATTTAAGGCTGTGGACAGACATAAACAATAGAAGATTCTGGCAAAAAGCAATACAGGAATTAAGTTAGTATGCTAAAAAATACACAAAAAAAAAAAAACATTTCATATGTGTGAAAAAAATATACCCCATCAAAATCCTTGTTTTTTTGTACAGGATCATTAAAACACCTCAAAAAGATGAAGGATTTTACCTTTAAGAAAATCTTATAAATAAGTTTATATATGAACAAAGTAGTCTTGTTTCACATTAGCTTTGCTTTTGTTATTCTCCCGTTTGTTTTTCCCATTTAAAACAGAATCAAGTGGATAATGAAATATAAAATAGGGGAAAAAAAGCATAATATTACCAAAACATTCAGAGTGGTTCAACTCAGGAAACAGCAGTCACTGCATTCCAGAAAATAATCTACATTTTATTAGCTATAAAATCAAACGTCCATCATTATTAGTTCTAGAATTGTCTTTATGATTCCTTGGAAGATCAATACTGAGGAATGGTGATAAGTTTTCTGTCTGTGTGCTGATGAGATTAAAGCTTTAGAACCTGCATGATGGAAAAAATAAAAATGGAGAAAAACATGTAGGTAATCTGTGATGTAAAACAAAAAGAGAAAAAAAAAAGCTTCCTGGTTGATTAGAATTCCAAGAATGGACCAACATAGTGCAAACATGACTCACACTCGCTGCACTCACAGCAAGGCCTTGCAGCTGGGTTTGTTTTATCCTGCAGCAATCAGCTGCTCCTCCTACGCCTGGCTGTAAACCGCCTGTGGATCCTGCTTCAGATTTTTCACTTTTTTTTTTTTCTTAATGATGGCTCTATGAGGAAAAAAAGCCATAAATGATCATGACACCCAGGGCACTTGAAGCGCACTCGTCCATCTTGTTGGTATGCCCTGGAGCTACGGTCGTTTAACTGCGGCTGGGCAGAGTCTCTTTACCTGGAATTAACCCCTGACGAGCGATTGCAAAGACTTTACAGCAGAGCCCGATCATTACAGTCCGCTTCCACGGCTCAGATTTCCCAAGGGGATTAGCGATCAAACAATGGAGAGGCAAACCATCAGTTTAAAGCTGAAGGCCACTCACTATTTATCTTTTCTCTGTCAATAATGCTGTATCTACCTAATGAAAACAGGGAATGATGAAGAACTGGCATTCCAGATCAGAGTAATAAATCAGACGTTCCAAAATGAAAATCGCCAACTCTCAACTCAAATATCAGCTCAATTATAAGAGTAATTTTATCAGTGACGTTTTCCACTTCCTCACTGTGAACTCCACTCACAGGAACCAATAACACCCCTCTCTCTCTCTTCCCAGTGCAATTGAAATACCACCCTGCCTCAGTCCTCTTATATCCCTTTGATCCGGTTCTGTTGGGTCCGGTTTCTTTTCTTCAGTCCAATAAAACCCGGTTCAGTGGATCATGTGATCACAGGGAATTTTTTTTTGCAGTCAAGTCCAGCTTGGACTACAATTGTCTCTCGGTCAACTCGGGCTATAGAAACTCCACGTAGTTTTCTGGGATCAACCCAGTTCGACCGTCCAGAGTTCCCTCCAACCAGCCGGGTTCCCTTGAAGCGTGAACTACAAGAAGAAAAAAAAAAGATGAAACACCTCAAGAAGTATACAGCTGAAATCACATAATTACAAAAAAACTATTTGGTCATCCACAATTTCTCCTATTTAGAAAGATCTGAAATTTTCATTATAGGCAAACTTCAACGATGGAGAAAAAAAAAAAAAAAACACATTGTAAGATATTTAAAGAATTATTTGTGGAAATTCCAGAACTACACAGAAGGACCTGAATGAGCTGCAGAGAGCTGGGAGCAAAGTAACAAGTTACACACAATGCTGAGAGCATATGGATGATCTAGAAGAGGAATGGGAGAATGTCATATAGTGAGAGGAAACAGAATTATACGGCACAAACCTATCGAAGCTCACTGGAACTCTCCCTTCAGTGACATGAGAGTTTCTTTTCCAGGTTTTTGCTGTTCTGCTCAAATCATTTACATGAAGACTTATCATCTCTTAAAGGAGAAGTTCGGTTTTTTACACTTTAAGCCCATTTTCTGTAGTGTCCAGGATGAAATCGAATGATCTACACCAAAAGTTTGACAATTGCTCCTGTCT